GCTGAAGTTAACGAGAAGGAAATTCCACAGCCAGGGAGATGGAAATAGACATGTGACTCTCTCTTTGGCTGAGCAGAGCATCTCACTGGCAGATGTATTTGTCTCAAGGGAACCGTTCCACTGAATCTTTAATTGATGGGCAGATGCATAAAGAGTTCAGCACACCATCAGATATTCATATTGTAAGTCATGTATGGTTGTGCATGCAGAGGACTTTGTAAATGTTCTGCAATGGGATGACAAGCTAACAATAAGAAAGACATGCTTTTGCTTTTTCCTGAGCATAGAACACAATGTCCTTGAAAGTTGGAGAAGAGCCACAACGTCCATTTCCGGATCCCTTTTCTTTCAGGATTGTCTGTCATGACTCTCTACAGTCAGCAACAGCATCTCCCTGCTAGAACCAAGGTCGAGCTTTGAAATTCAAAGATAAGAGAGAAGGGGAGGGGGAGGGGGGAGGGAGGGGGGGAGAGAGGGAGAGAGAGGGAGTGAGATCCTACCTAATAAGGAAATAATGTTTTCCTGCCGATAATATTTACCTTCATTAATATTAACTTTTCACAGAATGGTCATTCTTGAGGGAAATTCCATTAAAGCCGCTTTTCCCAGCCTGTTACTCTCTCTGATATCAATTACAATTCCCAAGATATTTTACTCCCTAAAAGCAGACCAAATTGTCCCTTACCTCCTTTGAAACAAATGTTTAAACCCTGCACCCTTAACACATCAGCTTCTTCCTTCCTTTTCTCTTTCAGTCCTTTTTCCACAATCTGGCTCTCTCCAAATGACCAGAGCCATAAGTGGCCACTGGCCCGAGAGCACACATGGAGGAGGCAAAAGATCTACTCCTTGCAACCCCTTCAGACTTTGCAGATCCAGTCTCAGATCTGTAGCCTCTGAACCCCAAAAGCAGCATCTTGGTACTGTAGCTGAGTACTTTGAACAGGAAGACTGTCACACTGCGGGACCAGGCTTTTCCTAAGCATCAGAATTACGAAGAGAGCTAGCTGAGGTAGGAAGTAGGCACAGTAAATAAACTTTTGGAAACTTTCTAAAATAGAATCAGGCTGGAGACAAGATAGCATTTCAACCTGTCTTCCAACCTCATCTGGGTCAGAACCTGTGACTGAACTGCTTTCTTGGATACATCAAGCTTAACCTAGACCTCCACTATTCTTCTAATCTGTCTCTATTAAGTAGTGCTTCTTGGCTTCAGATCCATGGTGCAGCTTGTCTAAGCTTTTGGCTCTAGTTCTCTATTAGCTGGTTTTGTCACCGTCCTTCTCTTTCAATCCTCTCAATTCACATGGGATGGAACAGATAGACTTCCCAGCCAGAATTATGTCTAGAGTGTTATTTTGCAACGTATCTGAAACTTGGAACTCTGCCATCACACAAACCCGAAGGGCATGATCTTGCACAATTATACAGGCAGTCCTCGGATTATGACCACATGCAGTACTGAAGGCTCTTTGGCTGACTGCAATTTGGCAGTTCGAATCCCACCAGGCTCAAGGTTGACTCAGCTTTTTATCCTTCCGAGGTGGGCAAAATGAGGACCCAGATTGTTGGGGGCAATAGGCTTGTTAGGAATATAAGTCACCTAACAGGTATTTGGGTTAGAAATATATAAACCAGGATAAACATTTTCGTACTATGTCTTTAAGAGATTGCAAAAACTGCAATTGGGTGTGGTTTTTCAAACAGCCATAAGATGGAGCCAGAAACCTGGATTGTTTTAGTCTTAGTATCAGAAGAGAGTGTGTCTGAGTGAGTATCTGTTTCCTTCTGTTGGAAAGTGTTGCTGTTCCTCCATTTCTTCTAATTGACTGATATTACTGGATTTAATGTAAGTCTGTTACTGAACTGTTTTTGACACTGGACTTTGATATTTGGATTACCCCTGGATTGAAAAACTGACTGATTTACCTGTGAATGATTTTGGATTGCTTGTTTGGATTTTGCTTAACGTTTCTGGAAGTAAAAACCTACATTTACTGTACAGTGTATCTGTGTACTGTGTGTGTATTATTCAAACACTACTCTCAAATACGTCTCCCTGTATGCGCTCATTCTCCTAACGGGGAATTACCTCAACAAGGCTGACTCTGTAAACCACTTAGAGAGGGCTGTAAAAGCACTGTAAAACGGTATATAAGTCTAAGTGCTATCGCTATTGCTAATCATAAAATGTCCCCCCCCCAAAAAAAAAAAAACTTTATTAAAAATCTCAAACGATGACAACCCAATTCAACTCAGCTTTTAAATCTATTGTATGTTGGAAGTCATGGATAGGCACCTGGTTACAAGAGGGTCTCAAACAATTTAACTTGGTAATGGAATAAAAACTTATTGAAGAGGAACAAGCCCTGTTGAATAAAATCAAAACCGATTCTAAAGTGGATTTTAAAATTTCAACTAACAAAAGTGAGCTGGTTTTATAAATGGAATTGAATAATGAACTCAAAAGTTTAAAAAGATTTACAAATAATAAACCAAAGAATGATGGATTTATATATACCGTGTTTCTCCAAAAATACAGCCTCCCCCAATAGGAAGTCCCAGCATGCTTTATAGGCATAAAATCAAATTAAGCCCCTCCCCCCTAAATTAAGGCCTATATTAAACATGCGAAATGGGGGGGAATGGCGGGGGGGCTGGCCGTTAGGAAGCACTTTTGTTGCATACCCGGATATGGTGCTGCCTGCATTGATCTCGGTGTTGGTGGGGCACTTCGTATCGGGAAACCTTCCGCCACCGTTGCTTTCCCTTCTCCCCATGCTGCCACAGCATTTAAAGCAATGCCGCGGCATTTGGCACAGCCACACGCAGCCAGCCAGGGCTCCTCCCTGCAACCGGAGCCCGGCGGAGACACTTGGCTTCAGGCGCTCCTGTCGCCGCCTTCCCTTCGCCTTCGAAGGCAAAGCCGGTACGACAAAGCCTCCCCTGCCCGAGAGGGCAGCCCAACCCCACGTGGGGAGGCGAATCTCCCGGGGCCGCAGCGCAGGATCGGCCCACCCCGGGAGAAGCGTCCAGCCGCCATCCCTGCCTGGCGCTGGGCAGAGCGTGAAGAGCTTCGCCTGGGGCACCCAGCGCAGCTGACAGGCAGGTCCTCCTGCCTGGCAGCAGAGCTCTCGCCAAGGCAGCGAGCGCCCCCCCACTGGACCCTCCACTCATCCCGCCAGGGCCGCACCGGAGCCGTGTGGGCTGGGCAGAGCCGGGAAAGTGAGCCGTGGGTGCGCGCCCACCTGCCAAATGAAAGAGCCAGGCCGACCTGAGCTTGGCTTCCTTCCCAAGTTCCTCCAGCCCAAACCCAAAGGGGCCACTGGGAGAGGCTGCCCAAGGCAATGATAGTGCCCACCCACCTGTGGACAGGGAGGCAAGGTGACGGCAGCGCTGCTTCCCTGGCTGGCAGGTTGAGCGGAGAGACCCTGAAGCCGCCCGTCCTTTCCACCCCTCGCCCAGCCCGTCCCCATCCCTACGCATCTCCAAACGCGCCGGCAGCTCCAAACGCTGCAGCGGCACGGGCATCGGGCAGAGGCACTCACTCATTGGAAGCTCAGCTTGGAGGAGGACGCGGCGCAGCCTGTCAGCTGCACTGGGCGCCCCAGGCGAAGCTCTTCATGCTCTGCCCGGCGCCAGGCAGGGATGGCGGCTGGGCGCTTCTCCCAGGGTGGGCCAATCCTGTGCTGTGGCCCCAGGAGATTCACCTCCCCATGTAGGGTTGGGCTGCCCTCTCGGGCAGGGGAGTCTTTGTTGTACTGGTAGTAGGGCGTTGTTTTTAAAAGAATTGGCTTTGCCTTTGAAGGCGAAGGGAATGTGGCGACAGGAGCGGCTGAAGCCGAGTGTCTCCGCCAGGCTATGGTTGTAGGGAGGAGCCCTGGCTGGCCGCGCATGGCTGCGCCAAACCCCGTGGCATTGCTTTAAACGCCACGGCAGCACAGGAAGAAGGGAAAGCAACGGTGGCAGAAGGTTTCCCGATACGAAGTGTCCCACCAACACCAAGGTCAACATCCAAGCCGTCACCACCCGCCCGCCCGAGGATGCAAGGGGGGAGAATTAAGTTACCCCCGAAAAGACGGCCTAGCTGTTTTTTGGGGGGGTCAAAAAAAAATAAGGCCCGGCAAACTGCTTGCACTGGCACAAAGCAGAAAGCACCAGCCTGAGGATGGCGAGTGGGACCTCGCCGAAACGTCGCCAAGATACTCTTAATTTTACACAGGAAAAGACTCAAACACACCTAGACCTACATACCTGTACCCGTGAAAATCTACGAAAATACACACACACATATATATATATGTATGTATATGTATATATGACTATAAAGGATTTACTGGAGCTATAGTGCTTTACTAGAACTACAAAAGGACTTTGATAATGATGACAAGAATTTTGAGAAAAGAGACCAGAAAGGAGATGTTAGAATATTATTTGTGGGACTTAAAGATTGCTTGCAGAAAGAAGAAAAAAAATACAAGATTGGTTTATTTGATTATAGTTAAAATAATGGCTATTTGTGGTATATAGTCAAAGTTTTTTTTTTTTTTTTTGGCAATGTTTAATTGGATGCAATGGATTAAATTGTAAAACTATTTTGTGTAACAGCAGACTAGAAAGGCTGGGTGATTTTCAGCCAGTCACTCTCTCACAGACCAAGCCATTTCACAGTGATATTGCTGTGAGGAAAATAGAGGAAGAAGGTGTGTTGGAACCAGTTTTTCTTTGATGTCAATGATTGATTGTGGCATAATTCAAGAATCTCCAGTTGTGTCTAAATTCATTAAAGCACACACAAAAAGACATAAATAGGCAAAGTGGGCTGTATCTCTGGGAATTCTTTGCCACTTTGCCAATGATAGGAGTGATGGAAGTCAAAAATTACCTACTCCTACATTAAGGGAAGTCTATCTTCCAATACTAACTGCAGGCTCTCAATGGCCCTAAACTAGCAGGGAGATAAGAACCCACGTGTTTGTCCTTATAAATGTGCCCATTACCTTCAGGAGATGTTGTGCTGTGTAGAATCCAGCTGGTCCACTGCCTACAATACATATTCGAGGTCTGAACTCAGCTGTGGAAAGAAGCCGCTTGATACCTGAGAGCAGAGAAAAAGAAGAAATTATGTACAAGTAGTCCTTGACTTACAAACATTTTATTTAATGACCGTCTGAAGTTACATCAGTATTGAAAAAAAGTAACTTATGACCATTTTTCACACTTACATGACCGTTGTGGCATCCCCACAATCACATCACAATTTGGATGCTTGGCAATTAGTTCATATTTATGATGGTTGCGCTATCCTCATTGCACAATCTTTTGTAATCTTCTAACAAAGTTAATGGAGGAGCCAGGTTCACTTAACAAACCTGTTGCTAACTTAACAACTGCAGTGGTTCATTTAACTGTGGCAAGAAAGGTCGTAAAATGGGACAAAGCTCACTTAACAACTATCTTGTTTAGCAGCAGAAAGTTTGGTCTATCGTGGTTGTTAAGTCAAGGACTACCTGTAGTCCTCCAGGTTCAGCCTGGAAGTTGCTGGAATAACCTACCAGAAAAATATGATAAACTCTGAGAGATTGAGAAAAAAGAGTGAAGTATCTTCTTCTACTTGGTATCTTCTTCTACCAGGAAGATACCAAGATTACAACAGTGGACCATTGCCTCCAAATTCAGTTCCAACCCAGACAGCGGATGATCCCAATTCTGTTTCTTGAACTGAAAAAAAAAAAAAAACCTAACACAGCACAAGCTCCTGTCATGATAAGATAACATGGGCTTTGGTTCTGCTTAATAACATGATGCACCAGACATGATTTTGTATGATTTGGCTCAGATTCCTGTGTAGAGAGCTTACACTTGCAATAAATCATTACATTCATTTCAACTGGCTGAATCTCCTGATTTCCCTGGCACTTGACAAAGGGCCTAAACAAAGGTGATAACACCTTGAATTGAATCTGGAAGCAAACTGGTGGAACAGTGATATAACATGGGGCACCCAAGTACTCCCCATGCAGCTGTTTTCTGGCAATTGCTGATCAATTGTTGCTCAGTGGTTTCTAAGTCTGTGACCTAGCAGACATCATTCAACAGATTTGTCTGTTAATAACTACTTTTGATTTTTCTAAAGATCACGTCTTCTACAATAATCCTTGCTTTTGCATTACCTTTACAGTAGCTATTGCCAATACAGCCTTGGAACACCTTCTGCAACAAGTAAACGAGAGAAATTCCACACTGCTATTCTTTTCCCATCATGTAATATTTAGATATTGGTTTGACTTTTGAAATGCATATATATTTCTGCATAGTTTTATATTATAAGCAAGAAATGAAAAAGAAGAGAAACAGATAGAAAGATAAGATAAAAATTCAGCTGGAGTTAATTATAAATCCTTAAGAAAGCTCTGAATTAAAAAAATATAAATCAACATATACAAACTAAGATCTCTAAAAATACTATCTACACGTTCAAATAAAAGGTTAGTACAAGTTTGGAACAAGAATTGCCACTTAATTGTTATGAAATCCATCTGGACGATCTTCTTACCATTTTGTATCATTGCATGACTTTATACACTCTGGTGTTTACATTATTCAGTGCACTGCAGATTCCTTGACAATGTGCTTTTATCTATGACACTAAATTCATTCATAATCTCATCCCTTATGCTGAACTTTAACACTAACACTTCCGCTGGTATAAAATCTTTCATTCATTGCAGAATCATCATCATCATCATCCAGAGGCCAGAGATCATAGAGTTAATCAGAGATGTGAAGGCCTAGACATGACAGCCCTTTTTTCCAGTGCAATAACCTTGACATTTATTGACTTTTTTTTTTTGCACTACAACATGCAAAAGAAATGTCCAAGTATGTTGCTAAAAAAAGAATCTTACAAACACTGCTTCCATCATTCATTCTCTGCCTCTGGGTCTCAAGAAATTTATGCCATGGAAGAAAAGAGTTTTTCACACATAATCTTTAATTTTTACTTGAGCTTAAGTCCTTTCAGATCTTTCATTTACCTTTATGCTGGGGGGAGAAAAATGTCGAGAAAAACCTGGGCTGCAAGAAAAACATATTATTTCACAGTAGACAAAGCAAACCCAAACTGCTTGCCGGAAGCACAAAAATGAAGATCAAGTTTAGACACGCAATGTAAAGGCATTACCAAAGTCATTGGAGAAGACTCCTAGTACTTCTGAGAATGGAAGGCTAAGAGAAGATGATTAAATACAGTCAGTGAACCCACACACAGGAATTTAAAAGAACACAAAGAAGGTGTTACTGACAGACTATCCTGGAGAAATTATGGCCATTGGGGTCACAAAGTGTTGGAAATAGCAGGATAAGTGTTAGTTTCCTTCAGATAGTTTGCACAGCAACTGCTATAATTCCCAGGAGAATAATTATTTCAGAAGAGAAAGGATTAAATACAGGTAGTCCTCGAGTTACAATCACAATTGAGCCCAGAATTTATGTGGGTAAGTGAGAAATGTACTAAGTGAGTTTTGCTCCATTTTACGTCTTTTCTAGCTACATTTGTTAAGTGAATCACTGCAGTTGTTAAATTAGTAACACAGTTGTTAAGTGAATCTGGCTTCCCCATTGACTTTGCTTGTCAGAAGGTCGCAAAAGGGGATCATGTGATCCTGGGACACTGCAACCGTCATAAGTATGAACCAGATGCCAAGCATCCAAATGGCTACTGACAGGAGTAAATCAAGTGGGGGATATCAACCTTTAAACCCCTGACATTTTTCCTGATACATTAACCAGCCTTTGCTTGCTTAACAGAAGGCCAGGAGAGATCAGGCCAATACTGATAGTCTTCAATTTACAACAGTTCATTAAATGACCGAAATTATAACAGCACTGAAATTGATGACCTATGGTCGTTTTTTACACTTACAACCATTGCAGCATCCCCATGGCCACAAAATCAACATTCAGATGCTTGGCAATCATATTTATGACGGTCACAAAGTTCTGGGGTCATGTGATCTCTTTTTGTGACCTTCTGACAAGCAAAGTCAATGGGGAAGCCAGATTCATTTAACAACCATGATACCAACTTAACAGCTGCAGCGATTCCTTTAACAACAGTGGCAAGAAAGGTCGTAAATTGGGGGCAAAGCACACTTAACAAATGTCCCACTCAGCAACAAAAAAATCTATGGTTGTAAGTCGAGGTTTACCTGTATGATATTCCATGGCAAGGATTTACACAGACTGAGTGCGGCAACTGAAGAGTCCTTGCTTCTTACACATTCCCCAAATGTACTTCCTATAGAAGTAATACAGAGAGAAGGGCCCCCTAAACTTTTGACAGGGTCTAACACAAGTATGTGATCTTTGAACATTCTTGTACAAACTTATCCATGGCTTTGGAGATCATAACCACCACTCTACATTGTGCTGGAAACCAACCATTCTCAGTGATCACACTCTTCTCATGCTCTTTCTTAATGATCTCATGTCAACCAAGATGACGTGCAAATGACTCCCACAAAAACTTTGACAGCCAAATTGATCTAAACCCAACGTTAGACTTTTCCTTCCCTTATCTTAAGGGCACCTATATCTATGCTTTATTAAATTAACTAGCTGTTCATAAACTAATGTGTAGATGTGCCACAGTTGTTTGCATTATACCTTTGCAGGAAACATCATGGATACTCATCAGCAGCATTACACAACACGATCCTGGCCCAGGACTACAATGCCAGCATTATGAAGAAGGCATTATAATACAGAGCCTCCGAAGAGCTGTCTGAATATTTTAATTTGCAAATAAGCACTCGGCTTTAAAAAAATGACATTGCAGAAATGCATAAATGCAAAGACACAGCAGCGGCACCACACTGTGTTCCCAATCTCCTGGTTTACAAACTTTTAAGGCTCAATATATACATGAAAATGTATATATAAAGGCCTACCTGGAGAAATGGCACTCTCCTTTTCCTCGGAGCACCATACTATAAAACCTCCTTGTGCAGATACTGCAGCCTGTCTCATGAAGGGCTCATCATCGTTACCTTAGGCACTGTACAAACCACCTGCACAGGGTCATTTCTCCCCTTATCCCCTGAAACGCTAGATTGGGCCTCCCCACTTATCCCCACCACCACCCCCGATTTGGATCAACTTCCTCGACTTGATCCTCTTCAAATAAACTGGACTATAAACGCAACCAGTCCCAAGAAGTGCTTTTCTAGCGGGAACGGGAGACCCGGCGCAATTGATCTGGGCGGTCTTCCCAAAAACCCACTCTTCCCCACTTCCCTTCTACCCTAATTATCTTTTCTGAATATTCTTTGCACAAGAGCAAAAAAATGAGATTTATGGTTCCTTCGATGTTTTTTCTATCATTCCATAGCCCGAGCTACCTCCGCCCCTTTTGAATCTCACTGTTTTTAAGCCTCTCGCTTGCTCCTGGACTGTCAAATCTCTCTGGAAACCTCCCCCTCCCCGCCCAGCTACATTCACAATCTGCAGAAAAACGAGAGATCGCTCACCAGCTAGAGGTCCCTTGGGCGGCAAGACCCCGAGCGCAGAAAGACGCCGACCGCAGCCGAGGATCCCCCCGGTTCGGCTCATCGTGAGAGCGGCGTGACAGCGTCAAACTACAGCGCTTACCCCGCCACTTTACCCGGCTTTCATCAGAATGCAAAGGAGCCAATCACGGAAGGCAAAGTATATTTAATTAACATAGATCCGCCCATCCGTCGCCGGAATGCTTGTTTTTTTGCCACGCCCCGCGATCAAGTCAAATGCCTATCACGTCGATTGCTGTGAGACCTTATTGACCAATCCGGAAATCGGAACAAAACGCAGGATGTGCTCTGTTCTTAGTGGTGTTAAACTCTTATCGTGTATCCTTCACTCAACGAAACTAATATAAAACGCAGGTTTAGTAACTTTAGGTATTTCGATTTTCGTAAGCTGGGTTTGCAAATGGGGCTAAAACTATAACGATTTAATAAAATCATGGTGAATGGATTCTCACAATGCATTGAACTATAAGCCACCTAGCATTTAAATGGTATATGTGGTCAGTTATGATATACAGTATTAAACTATGGCTTTGATAGTTAAGCCAGGGTTATCAGATGTTTGATCAGGCAAAGGTGGACCTGGACAATTGGAAAGGAAAGCAAGTGGGGGAAAGGAGGTCACACTGAATGTTCAATTTTCTGGGCATCTGTGTCCAAAATTATAGCAAAACGCTGCCAGAAGTGTACAGCCATTAGGTCTACATGGATACTTTTTACCGCTCAGAAAGTCTGGTGGTTCAATTTTAATATTTTCCAACACTTTTTTTATTCCCTATAACAGATGGTAGCAATAATTAGAATCAATGGCAATGTGCTTTCTTCCTTACATTTCAAATTTTACTATGGAAATGTTTGAGGAATGATATGATTTACAGACTACCATGATCGTAGATTTGACAGGAGGGGGCAAGTCGAGACTGTCAGATCTGTCAATGAACAAGGAAAGAAAGAACAGATAATGATAATGATAATGAATGTTTGAATGACTACTGCTATGAAACAGCCCAATTTAAAACAAAACCAAGACATTCAAAAAGCCAGAGAGTATTTGATTTTAAGACTATGCCTCCCAGACTGAAGACAAAAGGACCAAAAAAGAAGACATCCTTTTTGCCAGACATCTAATAAGCTATGATAGGAAGTAGGGGTCAACAATTGGGAACAATACAGAAAAAAAGGGAGTTGGAAAACTATGCAATTTTCCTTACATTATGTCAGGTGCAACATAATACTCTGTCATGACTTTTCATACATTATTTTTTCCGTTATTGTTTTGCTGTTTCTATCTTAGCTAAACATGAAAAGCATGCCCAGATAAGAAACCTCTCTTAGGCTACATTTAATGCAAATGTACGAAGAAAAAAATGTTTCCAAAAATCTATTCAAAAGAAAAACAGCTGTATTTTATGACTCTGCCAAGAGCTTTTTGTTTGAAAGTTCCTTGAGGCTGAATAAAAGACAGATCTGCTTTGTTTAGATCCTTTCTGGATTACTGTAGTCACTTCTGAGCATTTTGAATTGAAACAAATCCAAAGAACAGCTGTGAGAAAGACTAGAGGACTAGAAAAAAAGGCTTGTGAAAAAAGATTTGAGCTGAGCAACTTTAGCCTTGAGAAGAAAAGGTTGGAGAGGAGTGACACAATAGCTCTCTTCAAATACTTGAAAGGATGTCATGGAAAAATGGTCATAACCTAGTTCAAAGTGCCAGCTGTAGAATAATGGATTTAAGTTAGAGAAAGGCAAATCCGGTTTAATGTTAAATGTTATTCCTAACAATAAATACTGTTCAGAAGTGGATCCAGTTACCTAGGGAAGTGGTGAACTCACTTTCACGGGATGTGTTCAAGTGGAACTAGCCAACCGTCTTCAGTTTGGATTCCTGTACTTAGTAGCAGGTTGGCTTTGATCAGACAAATGGCTTCTTTGAACTTTATGATTCTATAATTTCTGCGATTTCAATGAATTCTTCATGATTTTAATGAGATGTGTCTTGGCTCCAATCTCCATATTGAAAACTTGAAAAATACAGAAACAGTTTACTACTTAACAAGTCTCTCCTTAGCTCATCTGGTGGAGAACCTGGTCAACCTTTTCTGTGGAAAGAAGTTTAGCCCTGTTAATCATGGTACTCATTGTTAATTGGTTCCAGGAAACGTGATGAGTACCAAATGAGTACCAAACAGATTTTTCCCGTAAGGAATAATATAGTGAGTCACAAGGCAGTTGACACTGACAAGTTCTAGCTTGTGTGTTGAGGACCAAACAAATGATGAGTACGGGACAAAATTTTCACATCAAAATGTATTAAGCATCAAATTAGATGAGTTTCAAAGCAGTTGAGTATCAGGGTATGATACTTGTACTTAGAATTGTATGAAACTTGCCAAAAGTAAGTTGCATTAGATCCATAGAAATGTCCACTCTGATCTTATGCATGTTTACCTGGGAGTTCCCTTAAGAACTGTCATTTTATTTTCAAGTTAATTAATTTAGGATCATAGCCTCTACGTTCTGCTTTGTACAGAATGCTAAATCATAATGCAATTTTTTTTTGCTTAACTTTATTTGTAAACCTGATCACTATGGCTTCTTCAACCAATCATACTACAAATAGTCCTCAACATACAATAGTTCATTTAGTGACCGTTCAAAGTTACAATGCCACTGAAAAAGTGACTTATAACCATTTTTCACACTTAACGATGGTTGCAGCATCTCCATGGTCATGAAATCAAGCTTGACAACTGGTTCATATTTATGATGGTTACAGTGTCTCAGCGTCATGTGAACCCCTTTTACGATCTTCTGGTACCCAAAGTCGATGGAGATGCCAGATTCACTTAAAAACCATGTTATTAACTTAAGAACTGTAGTGATTAAATATCTTAATCACTTAGTAACTGTGGCAAAGACGGTTGAAAAATGGACAAATCTCACTTAACGAATTTCTCATTTAGCAACAGAAATGTTGGGCTCAGTTGTCTTAAATCGAGGACTACCTGTAATTTAAGGTCTTAACTTAATGTTATATCAAAATTCACCTATCTGAATTTTGTCACCACACAAATGGATTTCTGCTCTTTTCTTACTTCTTTCCCCCATTTCCCTCCCAATTCTATTCTGGAAATTCTTCTAACAGTTCAATGCATATCAGGAAGAAGCATGGGGATGCTGTGACAGTCATATGTGACTTTTATCAATGCTATTGTAACTTTGAATGGTCACTAAACAAAATGATTATAAGTCAAGGACTGCCTGTAGTAATGTAGGTATTTTGGCGTCACGCTCAAACCTTTATATGTACTTATTTTTTTCCAAATTATGAAAACAAAATGTATTCTGTGAGGTTAGATGTTAATGCTTTATTCTACTGCAACAGAGAGTCGGAAGTCAACACTTTCTTTTCCTTTTCTTCCCTCCTCACTTGTCTTTCCCCTTTTCCTCCCTACTGTGTCTTACTCTTTGCTTTTGTATTGTGTATTTTATTCTATACTGTAATAAAATGTTTAAATCAGAAAAATCTGATTACAGACAGAGATAAAGACCTAAAAATATGTATTCTGCTTGGAATCTTTTGCTAATGTTCTAGTGAACATTAATTGTAGTTTCAGCAATTTCTTGTCCTTCATAGGTATTATATTTTTTGAAAATACATCTCTGTTTTTAAATTAAAAATATAAAATAACACAACAAAAACCCCTGGCAATCATCTGCTATATCAACCTTTACAAGCTCGATGCCCTGGGGAGGTTATGAGATTGCAGTTCCAATCATTCCTTTCAAGTCGTGTTTCAGGGAGTTGTAGTTGAAGATTTCTGAGGCACCTCAGTTTGGGGAAGACTCATACGTTGAACGATGAGTATATTATATCCATCTCAGAACTATTCTTGTTTCTAGACTATGCCTTTTTTTAAAAGCTATTTATTAAAGGCCTTGAAGCCAAAAATATCCACTTCCTAAAAGGTCCATTAGATAAGCCATCCATGGAAAAATAAAGCAAGGCTACATAGACTTATCTTTTTAAAATATATCACACAGTTGCCACATCGTATTTCATCTGGTGGTCTTTGATCTGCAGAATTATGAATATTTATAACTCCCATAGGAACAATGGAAAATGCACCACAATTTGTGGTGCCCTGACATTGTCAGTTTTCTATTTAATGAAATAGCTGGGAAAACTGAAAACTTTTATTTAGAAAACAATCTGTTTTGTGCTGCAAACCTCAAATACCTTGTATTATTAAACTTGGATTTCCGCTGACATTTAATTTTAAGGTGATTTGTGCATGTACTTGTTTTCATTGCTCACCAACATTTGACAGTATTGATATATGTGATAGATGTAGGCAAAGTATATAGTTGCCAATGTCAAGCTAGTTATAATTAACATTTCCCATCAAAATTCATAAGAATAAAAGGTTGGCAGAGATTTTGCATTTTAAAGCGGCTGTTAGGTCATTGCTTCATTATATGCATAAGTAGCCAAACAATCCTAAACCACCTTGACACTATTGTTGCAACAATATTGTGGCAACCCTGCAGATTAAACACTGAACGTACATTGGCTTCACCAAATAACAGGTAGTCCTCATCATAAGACCGCAATTGAGCACACAATTACCATTGCTAAGCAAGAGTTGTTAAGGGAGTTTTGCCCCATTTTATCACTTTTCTTGCCACAGTTGTTAAGTGAATCATTTGGTCATTAAACCAGTCTGGCTTCCCCCATTGACTTTGCTTGTCAGAAGCCAGCTGGGAAAGTTACAAATGTTGATCGCATGACTTCAGGACAATACATGCCGATTGCCAAGCATACAGTGACCATGGAGATGCTGCAATGGTTGTAAATATGAAAACTGGTCACAAGTCACTTTTCAATTCTGTTGTGATTTTGAATGGTCACTAAATGAACTGTTGTAAATTAAGGACTACTCAAATATGGATGTGCCTTAAAATGATGGAGAACGAATTCTCCACAAATTGATTGCAACTTGGCATTCTTAAGGACCATTGGTATAGCAAAGTTAGATGAATCCAAATGCCTAGTTGATGTAGCATGCAGGCCACCAAGCTGTTTGACGGATCCCA